TTCCCCTGCCCCTCTGCACATAGTGGGTGCTGCCCCCCTTTCTGCTGCACCCCCTCTGTCCTCACCTATTCCCTTGCACACACTGGAGTGCAACCTGTCCCCGGCAGTTCTGTACACCCCGAACACTCCTGCACACCCTGAGGGGGTTCCCACCTCTATTCTCCATCTCCTTTGGGATACTAACACATCCCCCCCATTCCATCCTCCCTCTGGGGTGCTGCCAACCACGCCCCATTTTTCCTAGCCCCCTGGGGCACTGTGTCCCCCCACCCCTCTGCACACAAACAACACCCAGCGTTTCTACCATGCCTGAAGTCCTCCTTCCCCTCCCCGCCCCGCACTGGGATGCTGCTCCCCATTCCTGCTCCCTCCATCCCCCCCACCATACAAACACAGGGGTGCTGCCTCCCACATTTTGGTGATATTTGGGCTCTTTTCCAATCTTAACTATTCCATCATTTCCCTCCTCCACCATTTCCATCTGTCTCAAGCTGGGGTGCTGCCCCCTTCCGGCACTGCCCCCTAGTCCCGAGCAGCCTTCACTGCCTCCCGCCCTCTGCCAAGAGCTGGCACCGGCCCAAAGCTGCCGGTAACTTTCCATTATTCAGGCTACAGTTCCAGTCAGCTGCGCTTTCCGGATCGATGGGCCGATGGCCGGCACCCCACGGTCACGGGGGTGGGCGGTGTCCCCCCACCCACGACAAGCGTGGCCCTTCCAGAGAACACTGGCTGCGAATGCGCCGTCCCCCGGGCAAGGCTGTACAGCTGCCGTCCCTGCTGGCAACTGGGGCCACCGGCCGGCTCTCACATGCTTGTCACTCGGTGTTACAAACGCCGCGGAAACCGCTCTTTAGGGTGGTTTGCGAGCGGGATGTGAGTCGGGGTGGTGATGCAGGTACCGGGAGGCTTATCTCTGATCCACACCCGGACACTGCTTATCGGGGACCCCGCATGTGCCATGGCGAGTGCCCCCTGTGCCCCGCAGCCACACATCCCTTGTGTGTCCGTGATAGGAGTAGGCACTGGTGAGGGCAGCGGGAGCTGTGCAGGGGGAGGCAGAGCTGAGCCATCCCAGAGTGTGCTGCAAACTTTGGGGTTTTTCTAGAAAAGCTTCAAAACACCCTGCTGCTGCCTGGCAGGGGGGTGGCTGTTTTGAAGTTGTGTAGCCACCTTTTGAAGGTGTGTAGCCGGGTGTTTCTCCCCTGGACACGCAGCCATGGTCCAGGCAGTGTTCAGCATTTCTGTGGGGCTGAGCCAGGAGCACCTGTGCTGCCAGGCTGGCACTGCTGCCCTCCATGCCTGGCCGTGCCTGGGCCAAGGGCTTTCCTATGGGTGACCATAGAAGACTTTCAGACAGGCTCTGCCTGCACTTGTATCGCTCCTGCTGGTGGGTGCCAGTGGTTTGTGAGCTGGCTGGGCTGTGCCGCTCCCCCTTGCTGCCGATTTGGAGTTTGCATGTGTGGTAATCCTGGCTAGATGAGTTCTGCCTGTGCCGTGTGGGCCATTCACACCCAAGAGAGTTCCCAATGCATCCCTGCCCAAGTCCCAGTGGGATTTGCCTGGATATCAGGAAAAGGGCCTTCACCCTTTCAGGCACTGGTCAGGGCTGGTGCTGAGTTGGGCTGTGTCTGATAGGGAGGGGTGGCCAGTCCTGGGTTCATGGCTGCTAGACTCCAGAGCTGTATCCTCTTTGGTGAATGCTTCAGGATTGTGCTGCTGCCAGCCAGGAAGCACAGTTACAAATCACAGCAGTCAGTGGGTGGTTTGGCCTCTTGCTGCCATCTCCTGTTGCTCTTTTGGAAGCAAGCCTGACATAATGGCAGGGAAATGCCCTTTCCACCTCAGGAATCAGCTGTGGCACCTCTTCCACAGCCTTTCTGGCTGGGAACAACAATTCAATGGGGCAAGAACCGGCTTATCCCACCTGCAGCAGGCTCCTGCCTGCCCTGCTCAGGTTGGCATCCAGGACTCTGCCAGCTTGTCCCAGGAGGCCTCATCCACATGCTGAAGGCTGCTGCCAGGTCATGGTGACACAGCTGGAAAATAAGTGTCCTACAGGCAGCAGAGGGCCGGGGGCTTCAGCATGTCTGCAGCCCTGGGTGGAGGGTGGAGAGGCAGCACTGAGCAAGGGTTCTGATACCTGTGGGGTGAAACAGCAAGTCCC